CATTCCTGGGCCCCAAAGACCTCTTCCCCTATGAAGAATGCAAGGAGAAGTTTGGGAAGCCCAACAAACGGAAAGGGTTCAGCGAAGGTTTGTGGGAGATTGAGAACAACCCCACCGTCAAAGCCTCCGGCTACCAGGTGGGTTGTGAACCGGGGGGGGGTCCCGGCGCCTCGTGTCGCCCTCTTTCCCGCCCGTTCCCCCTTCCCGGATCCCCCCTCTGAGCCCCCCGTGTCCCCTCCAGCCCACCCAAAAGAAGACCTGCCCCGAGGACGCCGAGCCGGAGCGGGAACCGGAGGGCGACGGAGAGAAGAAGGGCAACGCGGAGGGCAGCAGCGACGAGGAGGGGAAGCTGGTGATCGACGAGCAGTCCAAGGAGAAGAACGAGAAAGCCGGGATCAAGAGGAAAGCGGAAGATGCTTTGGAGGTAGGGAGGGGACGACGGGGACGGGGACGCGGGCGAGGAGGGGGCCGGGGCCGGGCTGAGCCGAGCTCCCCCTGCCCAGGACTCCCCCAAACGCACCAAGGAGGCGGAGGGGCAGGAAGGGGAGAAGAAAGTAGACAACGAAGAGGCCCCCAAGGAGGAGCCGAAACCCAACCCGGTTGAAGGGGAGAAGGAGAAGAACAGTGACGCCGCCGGCGTGCCGGACGCCAACGAAGCCAAGCAGGAGAGCAAGGAGAAGGCGGGCGCGGAGGAGGTCAGAGACCACAAGGAGAGGTGAGGGTGGTGCGGTGACCCCCGTCCCCGACAGCCGGGCTCCTCCCTGCCCTCCCCGGGCACGGGGGAACGTCCCCGGCGGCGCGGAGAGGGGGGTCCCGGTGCCGCCGGGGTCGGTGACCGAGCGCCTGCGTCTCTTTTTGGCTCCCGCAGCCTGTAGCGGCCTCCCCGGTGATCTCCCCGCCTGCCCCTTCCCCGCTGGGCTCCCTGGGTGCTGCCCCATCTCGCCCTCGTCGGCTCGTCGCGTCTGCAGTGCAGGACAAGAGAAACAAACCGAAAATGAAATTTTAAAAAAAGAAAAAAGTAAAAAAAAAAAAAAAAACAAAACACAGAGAAAGAGAGAGAGAGAAAAAAAAATGAAGAGAAACCCGGTAACACAAACCCCTGAACCAACCCGCATCTCCCGGACCCGCCG